GAAATGACCTCAAGTTGCACCAGGAGAAGTTTATATTGGCTATTAGGGAAAATTTCTTCATTGAAAGCGTTGTCAGGCATTGGAACAGGATGCCCAGGGAAAGACACCATTCCTGGAAGTGTTCAAAAAACATGTAGATGGGGATACAGTTTAGCAGTGGGATTGGCAGTGCTGGGTTAACTGTTGAACTCGATGATCTCAGAGGTCTTTTCCAACCTTAATAATTCCTTGATTTAATGATTTTATATGTCCAGTTGAGGGGCCTGAATGACCCACACTCTCTCAAGACCTGTCCCAGAAGCTTAATTATCACTGCAGCCAACAAAGCTACTCCAGGGACTATGTGAAACACTGTGTGTTGTGGAAACAAGGGAAAGGAAGATGATTGTATTCCCAGGTCGAATGCCCACTCCAAAACATAAGGAAATAATCTCACCTCATTTGAAATTCTTTGAAAGGACTGCAATTTAATAACTTCACCTTTTCCCTTCAGTGGTGCCACAAATGATCTGTCAAACCAAATCACTGTAAAATCAGGACCCAGAGCTTTTTTGGTGGTATCAGGTATTATCAAGGTGCCATTGTCAGTCAGATGTTTGTTTAAATCAAGGGAAGCTATGAGACATTACAGAGAAAAAAACCCCCTCTATTCTGCTTCATTTTCCAAACTTCACAGATAGAACACTGACAAAAAGACAGAAACTTTGACAAGTTCATAGAATAGGATCATAGGATCCCAGAATATCTCAAGTTGGAAAGGACCCATAAGGATCATAGAGTCCAACTCTTGCCAATTCTGTAGGCAAACTCTTCTTAGGAACATACTCTCATATTTTGACTGTTTTCAAAAGCTGATTTTGATCTTTCAACCCAGTTTTAGTTGTACAGAATTTTGAACCTACGCAGACTGATATGCTCAGATATTGTGGTAACTGGACTGACTGGTACAACATAAGGGCATCAGGAGTCAGTAGACTTTTCCTCTTTATTTTTAATTCATGCAGGTTTGTCATGACACAGGGCTGTGTTTCCTGTGACTCTATCAAAATGCAGCTTTAAGTAATCCTTCTAGCATTTGCTCAGATTCCAGTAACTGCTATCAGTGCTACTCTTGTCCCCAAACCAAGTGATTTTCTCATCAAACAGATTGAGAAATAGCCTCTTAACATTTCACTGCAACATGTACAGGCACTTCAACAACACAGGCAATAAATTCATTGCACAATTTCTTTTCCTCAAAAAAGACTGGGGTTAGTTGTAGTTTCTCCTTCTTCTGAGAACATTTAAATCTAGCATGATTATGCTATGGCTGTATCCAATTCCAGTCCTGACAGGGGAAGGAATTTTGCACGTGTCCCTCAATGGCTGATGAAAACAACAACATGTCTGTCCCTACAGGAGTTCCTTTATTTCCTGTCACTCTCCTTCTTTCTCAAAAATACTTTCCAGCACTTCCCCATGATTTCTAGACAAGAAAGCACATGCAGTATCTGGCTGGCTTGTAAATACCAGAGCCAGTGTGTCCTGCTGAGAAAACTCAATACAATGACACACCAAGCCTTAGGAAAAAACCCAAATCTGTAGTCTAACCAGATTACCTAGAAATTTTTATGAGGCTCCCTAGCCTGTAGAACATCTCTATAGCCATTCCTTCACATTTAGGGGACCCACAATGGTGTTTCCTCTGTCTTTCACTAAAAGCAGTAGCTTTTAGACTCGTAGCAAAAGGAAACATATAAACTGTGAAGGAGCAAGTCTGCTTGAGAAAAGCTGAAGTACTTCATTCTCCCAGACATGAAACACTCATTGAAGATCTTGCAAAGGACGTTTTTTTTCTTTTGAAGACAATACGTAATTACTGAGCTCTACTACAGACAATTACTGGCAGTTTGTAAGGATGTAGTGGCATATGTATCAAATATGAAATGGTAGAGATGCAGCTGAGATCATGGCATTATTAAAGCTTTAAATTAATGGATTTTCTGGTATTTTTGCTTGTGTCAACATTCAGAGCAGGCCTGGCACTGTGGGGCATGAGTAACCTGATATAGGCTATAACATACATTTAAAGAACCCAACTCTGTGCTAACTGGAAGACTTGAAGTATTTAAAACCTTCTGAGATACCAGGTCAGTCCCTCTATCACAGACAGAGGGATATCAGGATCACTGAAGAGATAATAACTCAACAAGGCTTTGGTGATATTTAAAAAGATTTCAGGCTACTGAATGGCTGCTTCTCACAGGCTATTTTTGCCTTGTAGAGCAAAATCTGGTACCTCATGGGGATTGAGTGCCATTACCTCTATCACCATTTCTAGTAGGGATGTCTCTCTCAGAGCAACTGAGCTTTTATAATAGTATACTATAGGATGCAAATTTGCTTCCTGGACAATATGATCACAAACCCAGAAAGCTCTGAAAATTCACTGAATTTGCTACTTGTTTCCAAGCTGTGCAAAGCTGACATTAGAACAGTGGAGGAAATTTTACTCTTTAAAACCTTTATGATACTTTAAAAAACATTCCCACAGTACATTAAGATGAGTCCAAAGTCTTTTCACAGTTTTGATATAGACAATGATGCAATATTTGGGGGGTTTGGTTGTATGTTACACCTCGAAAAAGTAGTTAGGGAGTTGCCATGGTTTAGTTAGTCAAGTGGAAGCTGCACATTATATGTAAATCAAACATATGGCTCACTCACTTCACTCAAGATTCAGCTATTTGTGGGTGTCTACATGTGAGCAGAGTGTCTAGGCATTCAGTGGACAGCTAGTCCATACTGTCAGTAAAGACTAGAGTTGTTCAGGTGGGTAAATGGAGGTGCCTATTGAAGGCTAAGCTGATGAGAAAAAGATTGCATAGAAGGACTTGAATTAGTGACAGAGAACTATTTGAGAAGCCCCATTGCATCCCACTTGGCTTCAACTTCTCAGTCAGAAGATGTGAAACTTTTGTTGATCCTGTATTGTATGTTAAGACCCATGTGGATGCTTCAGATACTCTCTAGCCTATCAAGCTCACTAGGTATCTGTGTTTAGGGAAATGAATCAAGATTACCTACATCACCCAAGTTGGGTGTCTTAACCTTGGTCTGACTCACACAGAAATTCCTATTCCCACTGTGTGATATAGCTGGAAAATCAGTTATGGACTCATTCCAGATCCGCTAGTAGATTGTTATCATTTTATCCAGGCATAGAAGAACATGAGGCAAATTTTCCTGCCTTTGACAAGCTTGATTATGTCTGAACCCATTTCAGTTACAGGAGATGGGAAGTTGGCTCGTGGCTTTGGACAGACAACTTCAGACTGCTGTAGTGAAGTGGATATTTCTCCCACTAAAGACAGCTGAAAGAATACCAGAGCAGCCAAAAGAGTGAAAACCTGGTATGAACAGCCAACTGGTCCTAGTCCAAGTGCAAAAAATGGAAGTGCACTAGCAAGATAGAAAGTCCTAACTGACTATGAAATCATACCTGGGCTTCAGCCCCTGATGTTCCCTGTAACACCAGTGGAAAAAAAAAGAAAAAAGAAGAAAAAAAGGCATAAGAGAAGGCCTTCTGCCTACATGGAAGATTCTCCTTCTGCATTTATAGTGCAAACTTGACAAATATGACAAGTAGTACTGAAGGGACATGCCAGACTTCTGGTGCCTTAAATCTCATTAGACTGTGCAGCAAAAACCCATAAGTATGCTCACAAACAACCCAGATGTATGGCAAGGTTCTGAGAATCACAGAATCGTAGAATATTCTGAGCTGGAAGGGACCCACAAGGATCATCAATCCACCTACTGGCCCTGCACAGGACATCCCCAAGAATCATATCATGTCCAAATGCTTCTTGAGCTCTGTCAGGCTTGGTGTCATGACCACTTCCCTGGGGAGCTGTTCCAGTGCCCAACCGTGCTCTGAGTGAGGAACCTTTTCCTAATGTCCAGCCTAAACCTCCCCTGACACAGCTTGAGGTAACTGTAGTCCCACAGTTAAGGTGCCTGGACTTTTGGGGAAGATTTAACCTCCCTGTTTATTGAGAGGCAAATGGAGTGGTGAGAATTTATGGAAGGAAAGTTGGAAGGAGAACCGAGAACATTCTGCTGCCAGTGACATGTGCCTAACCTGAGAAGGCAGTGTTACTTCTTGTAACATCACCTCAGAATTAATGAGGAAGAGAGGAAACAAAGAAAATAAAATAAAATGCTGGTGCTCCATTGTGTGAAGCACAGAAAGTGCTGCAGAGCAGCTGGGTGAGAAGCCATGGCCATTCTTTCCCATAGCCCATGATGAAATTAAGAAGCAGCACAAACAATATACCAATATAGCAGGAATAATGAAGACATGGAATTTCTGCAGAGACACAAATTTTAACTGGACAAAGATGACACACTTAAATGCAGGTAAGTGAGACACTGGCAATATATGCAGGGGAAAAGATCTACATCTCTCACAGTCTGGGGTAGAAGTGAGGGACGTTAGTGAAACATTTGATGCGTTAATACCTAAAATTAATTCTGAGGAACACCAACCACCTGTCCCAGCCCCTTTCCTGAATGCAACAGGCATTGACCACTCAGAGATAGATATCCACACAGAAAAACTAACTCACTCAGCTCAACATGGCAATCCCATTATAAAAATGGCTCACCTGCAGCATATCCTTAATGTGAGCCCAGCTCAGAAGTTATTAGGTATGTCCAGAAATCATATTTTTAATTAATGAGAAGCTTCAAAAAAGTCTTAAAAGGAGGAACCAAAATTTTATAATCTGAGAAAACTCCATTTCCTCTGCCCTGCCCTTCCAAGTAATAACCTGAATTTGGTAAAGCTTTGAGAACAAATGACACCTACCAAGAGGCCTGGGAAGTTCAGGTGCACATTAACAGAGACTTCTGCAAAAGCAACAGACTGATGGAGGTATGACCTCATGTAAAAACATCTCATGACTCTATAATGAGGCAATCAAGTAAGTTCCACCTTCCAAGAATTAATTACTTACCTCACCATTCAAGAAGCAGTAAAATACTGACACAAAGAAACCCTGGAAAGAATAGAAAGCCGTTAATTATTAGATAAGTATTTTAACACTTTCACTGATAGAGGGAATTGACTGTCAGCTGGGGTAAAGCATATCTACAGCATCCATCTGGCTCCCAAAATGGCACAGACCCCTCACAGGTGCTATGTCATGCCTGCCAGCTCTGTGTAGATGTCTCAAGCACTACAGAGGGTGTCAAATGGCTTTAGATGGTCTTGTGTGGGCAAGAGTATCATCAGGTTGCTTAAGTTCACCTGAGTTGAATGGCTCTGTGGAATCTGTCAACAGCAGTAACTAAACTCCTGTAATGACTGAAAAGATTGGAATTCCTGTGAGTGGGATCCTCCCTGTTTTGATTTTAGAAATGGACTGTCACCATTATTGTCACCATAAAGGACAGAATCCCTGTGTTTTTTTCCTTACATATGTCTTCATAAGACTATCAAGGAAACAAGAAATGCAGCATTTTTTGAGACACTGAGCAGCAGCAGATAAAAAAATACAATTAATTTTAGGGAATGAAAAGTGTAGATTGTTTCATCGATAATGGATAAGATTCCTTTCTTCACAGATTAGAAGAGATGTTTTTCATTTTGGATAGTCAGTTGTGATTTCTGGTGGGATGCTCTGTGTTTCTAACATAAACATGCAATCAGGAAAAACAGTAACCCAAACCTCAAAACTTTTATAATCCATAACCCTAGACTTGGCATGACAGCTGTATATTTGTATTGATATCATGGGTATCACGTCACATGTTCCTAATGTTAAACATATTTCCATCCTAGTTCAAGAAGGTCTTCAAGTAGAGGTAAAGCTGTAGGGGACACCTAGGCAGATGTGTGGCTAAAGATCATTCTAAGTCTCCAGCTGCTTTTGGTTTTGTGCCAAATTCATAAAGTTGGGGCAATTACTTATGTTCCACTGTATTTTACATTCTGACAGAACACCTGTTAAATTCGGGGGAGGGAGGAGATGGGGCATATGATGTGATGGCTGAGTGCATGCACCATTGCAAGATTCAGGGGAGGGAGGAGATGGGGCATATGATCTGATGGCTGAGTGCATGCACCATTGCAGGAGAGCTGGAGTGAGAGGCTTGGCAAGACAGCTGAAATCTTTGTCTAGAGAACCTGATGGGTAGTTGTTTCCCTTTGTTTTATCAACATCTAGTCTAAGTCTCAGCCCACTGTGAAGAGAGAGGTACCTTGGGAGGGTAATTCATCATCCTCTCTCAGACAGTTAGAATGAAACACCATCTCCCTCTCCACTGACTTTAGATGGAGCCCAGATGAAGAGCTGTAGCTATAGACTGAACATAGTGCTGATGCTAAGGGAGGCAAATCCCTCCAAGACACACCTGAGAGGAGATCTCCACTCCATATAACATACCAATACATCCATGACATAAGCATGAACAAAGCTGGTCTTGCCATAAGTTTCATCACTGAAAAGCACTGAGGATCCTTTCAGAAGTACCTGACACAAGCTATAAATTTTCTCTCTTACCTGAAAAGACTGCAGGAAAGAATTGAAATAGATGAAAACAATCTGGGAAATGTCATCTTCACCAGGGTTGACAAAGAAAAGCATATAGGTGATGCCTAACAGAGGCAGGAGAACTAATGTGGCCTTGACTGCCTTCCTGTGGGCAAGAAACAGAAAACACAAGTGAACACGAGAAAGAACAACTGTGCTGGGGGTGGAAAGGAGGAGCATGGAAATAGTGACAGCTTCCACTTTCTGACCAGTGCCTGCCCACTCAGAGCAACGTGTTCTGGGAAAGCCTTTGCCTTCGAGTCAGCTGTTTGTGCTCATGCTCTGAACTCCAGGGGATGAATGGGAACCTTATTTATATCTCTTCCTGACACTCCTTCTTTCTTCAGTTTCTCTCCTATCATTGAGGCTTGCATTAGGCTGAAGCCTTGAGATTCTCTGCAGGTTTGGTGAATGATGCCTTATACCTCAGGGAGATATGATCAGTGCACAATTTAGCTGCTAGCCAGAGCAGGAAAAAAAAATGCAGTGCCGACCTGTCCTATGTCCACTGTTTGATTGTGTTTGGAGTGTAAATGATTTTTTCTCTCTCTGCAGCATTTGTATGCTCAACTCAACTGCGTAGAGATGTCTTAGAAATAACAAGCAGGTGGTGCATAACGAAGGAGAAATTATGACTAATAGGATTATTAGGGGCCAATCTTTACTATGGGTGCTAGAACAGTGTCTTGGGGTGTCAGTTGAGAACAGCACCTCATTGCACTAAATACTGCACAAACACAAAGACTGCAATTTTGCTAAGTCATTATAAATCTCTTTATAATGCCATAATGGGTAGATAAAGACAGGCAAGGGAGCACAGAAACATTGCCAGTGTCACAGAGTGACAGTCTTAAGGTAGCTGCCACATGATTTAATACCTGCTTAACAAATGCTTGGACTGCTTGGCTTTAGAGCATCAAGGCTTGCCCCAGGCTCTGATGGAATTCTAAGAGTTTCTATTCAGGCTGTGAAAAAGCAGATTCCTCACAGACCCTGCAGCAAGGATAAGATCACTGGCATCTGTTCAAGAATGAAGGTAGTTACTTTAGGCTGCCTCTGAATCTAGTATCTCTGATGCTCACTGCAAGCTGCAGAAGGGATAAAAATGTACTGAGATTTGAATCAGGGCTTTTTTGTGCTAGTTTTAGTTTAATGGCATGAGGTTTGAGTGTGAAAAAGGGGATTTTTTCCCATAATTTCTCAGGGAAATGTGCAAAGGTGGCTCTGAACATCAGGCCACTGCACTAATTTCATCTTTGCCCAAACCCCCAGGGAAACAGGAATAACAGGAAGGAATCAGGCAAAATAACAAACCCCCATTCGTGCAGTAAAACTGCCTCCAAAGTCAAGGGCAGGCTGATTTGAGGACATCAAGATTCAGGCCTCTGCTTGGTACATTGAGATTTAATATAGAAATGATTTAGAGGATTGTGACCAATCTTACGCTACAAAACCTGTGCTGTTTCCCACTTTAAGGAGCTGTCTGTCCCTTAATGCTCCAAACACCTTGCAAGAGGCTGCAAACGGTAAGAGAAAGGCACTCAGCACCTGCTGATCTCTAAGAATTTGCTTTTAGACTCCTTAAGCTGATCAAAGCCCGCACTGCTGCTGGAAGGGGCCAGGCTACCTTCCTTCTGCTGCTGCCCTGGGCTGAACTTCTGGGCTGTCTTCTTTTTGTCATACTAGTGCTGGTGAGGTTGCACAGTCAGCTCAGACAACTGATCTACCTGAGAAGCCACTCCAAAAAAAAGGTAATGATTAGTTGAGGGTCGGTTTTGTGATTCAGCCCACTGACTGGTTACACTAATGCTGGTACCAGCTGAAGGGAAGGAGCACAATCATTCCTCATTCCCATCCCTGCACTTTAAAAGGAGCATTAAATACCTGTATGCATACATGAATCATAGAACCCTAGAATGGTTTGGGTTGGAAGGTACTTGAAAGATCATCTTGTTCCAACCCCCCTGCCATGGCCAGGGCCACCTTCCACTAGATCAGGTTGCTCAGGGCCCCGTCCAACCTGACCTTGAACACTTCCAGGGATGGGGTATCCTCAGCTTCTCTGGGCAACCTGTTCCAGTGTCTCACCACCCTCACAGTAAAAAATTTCTTCCTGATGTCCAATCTAAACCTACTCTCAGTTTAAAGCCATTGCCTTTTGTCCTGTCACTACAGGCCCTTGTAAAGAGACCCTCTCCATCTCTCTTGTAGGGCCCCTTTAGATCAGGTAGTGGAAAGCTGCAATAAGGTCAGGTTTCTCTTCTCCAGGCTGAACAATCCCAATTCTCTCAGCCTTTCCTCATAGGGGACCTGCTCTAGCCCTCTAATCATCTTGGTGGCCTCCTCTGAACTCACTTCAACAGGCTGATGTCCTTCCTGTGCTGGGAACCCCAGAGTTGGATGCAGCACTCCAGGTGTCATATGCTTGTCTACATATAGAAATTGATAAAGTTCATGCCCTCACATGAGATCAAATCCTTCAGATTTCATTGACAGGGGAGATTTTCACGTGTGTGTTGGGGCATGTGCAAGCCTGAAGTAGGTAAGAGGTTGGTGGCCATGGTGGTGCATGTGTCTGTGCCTGTAAAGCAAGACTGTTTGTGTTGTTTGGACATTGAAATTGAGTGGACAGAAAAAAATAATGCAGACATTCTTTTATGGACACCCCAGAAAATAAATATTATGTGCATAATATATGAGCTCAGAGGTTAAGAAGGACACCCTCTGAGATCAGAAGTGGAATCTGGAAAGACAAAGACAAGGAAAAGGCAGCAAGGCAGTGCTTTGTTAACACCAGAAACAGCAAGGAGCACCAGCTGACTTACCTGTACTGTATTGTTTCTGAAGTGGTTGAAGCTCTCAGCTTTGTCATTAAAATCCTAACTATGTTAAATAGAAATACAAAATTTATCTGCAAAAGAAGGGAGAGAGAGGAAAATAAGACCAGTGAGTCAAATAGTGGCTTAAAAGATGTGATACACCATAAAGGGCACATTTTACAGGTCCAACCTGATTGAAAACAGCCTCTTGACTTTTACCCTTGATTGCAACAGACTCAGAAGTTTATTAGAAATACCAGATTACACAGCAAACATACAACAACTATTAATGTTTCCAAAGCAGCAATGAAAATGGATTACAAAACTAATGGTCCCAGCAAGGAACTTATTTTCTCTCCCATTTCTCCTTTCCTGGGTGCAACAAGGAGCTAAACATGAGATATTTTGGCTTTTTGCATGTCTCGGACTGAGCTCCAAGGCTCCCTGCATGGAATGTTGGTCAGCATGATGCTGTGTTGATTTGGCAGGTGTCTGAACCCATCCTCCCATTCCACAGTGTCTGTAGTGGTTGGATCAGGCTCCCCAGACCCAAAGTACAAGGCTGCATTGCAGAGATCTAAATGTGAGCTAGTCACACCAGACTCCCTTTGTATTCATATACATTACACTCCACATGAGATCTTTAAAACAGAGCAGATGAATCACACCTGAAAAATACCTATTTTTTTGCACTGTCTTTAAAAGCAAGATGATGGATTTACCACTTCCCTTTTTAATGTGCTGAGCTGGGTAATTACTATTTCTGTTACAGGCTCACCACTGAGAATTGAGATTTGCTCTAATTACTGTTGTTGTAGCATCTGCCAGAGAGTTTATTACATAAGTTTCCTCTCAGTATAAACAGGAAAGGAAAAAAAAAAAAAGCAAAAACCAACATGAAGAGAAGATTCTGATTTGTAGTTTGTGATTAGTGGAAGGATTCAGCATCTGGGAGCATGTTTTGTGTTGCTTTCAACACATAAAGTAGGGTAGCTTATAACATACTGATCTGTCTCAAAGCTGTCAATGATGTAGGCTGTCAGAACTACAGAACTGTTACTTCAAGACTGCTGAGGTCCCAGCAGAGCTTGTGAGAAGATATTTACCTCACACACATTTCCAGGGTCCCATGGCCCTTGGCATTTTGCAGCCTATGAATGGAACAATTCTGTGATTGACTTTCAACTATTCACAAACACTGTAGCAGAGCTGAAAATTTAAGTGTGTTCTCAAAATATGCTCCTTTTTTTTCTTTTTCCCCATGCTATGCAGTATATTTCAATGACTAGAGTATCTTGACATCCATCACACTATTCCCTGCAGTTCCTGTAACATGGTTTCTAACAAATGGTGCAATAAGCACCTGAACAGACACTGGGAGACTGGGAATCATGTACATTAAACAATTATTACATAAGATACAGAAATGCTGCTCTAAGAGTTAACATGACTTTTTTGGAAATCACTTTCTTAGCAGTGCAGGGCCTTAGGGAGTCCAAGAAATAAATAAAACAGTGCAGTTTGTGTATATGTTCTTGTTAGAATTGTTTTTGTCATATATTATGAGCTTAAAGTCAACTGGTTTACACTTTATTTGTCAGAGACAAAAACACTTCATATCACTGGTTTGACTTGAACCTTAAACTCTTCACTGTTGCTCAACAACAGAAAGAGAAATGTTCAGGCAGTCTCTGCTCAGGGGGAGGTGGATGGGCATGTCCTTCACTCACAGAAAGCAAACTTCTGCCTCTGAGATTCTCCATCAGCTCAGAGCCAGGTCTTGACAAAAAAAGGCACTAACTTGCCACTTTTGCAATTGTAATGAAAAGTGCTCAGGTCTCTAGGCAGGAGTGAGCTCCAGATATAAGCAGGACTAATCACATGGGATGAATATGATGAACTGGACTGGAGAAGGCATTTCAAGTTTCATGAGTCCTACTTTGGTGTGACAACATCTTTCTATTTGAACTGAAAATTCAAATTGCCACAGACTACATCATAAAATTAGTGATTTTGACCTTCTCTGAAAATAAAATTCAGAAGTGTGATTCATCAGTCCAGAAGGAGAATTGCTGGCTGAAAACCATGGGAGTTATTTCACTGGAAACACTCTTATTCTATATAAATCAGTTTTCCATTCTCCCAGTTCAGCTGCCCAAGCCCAGACCAGAGCAACACCTGAGGCAT